TTGTTCTGACACAGTGTAACTCTGAGTTCTTGTCATATTTTATTGTAATTTTCTAAACTATAGCGAATAAACTGATAATGTGAGACATGTTGAAGGTGTCTGAATAAATTTAGGTTTGACTGTATCTACTTGCTAAATAAAGTTAACCAACTAACATTATACATACTCTTTTGGTTTCTGTACCCAATATTTAAAAAATTTACAAATGCAATAAAAATATTGGTATCGGTACTCGGTATCGGCAAGTACCAAAAATAAAAGTATTGGTATCGGGCAAGTACTGGAAAAAGTGGTATCGGTGCATCCCTAATAAATAAATAAATAAATATATATATGTGTGTGTGTGTGTGTGTGTGTGTGTGTGTGTGTGTGTAAATCGAGAACAGTTATTTTAAATTGTAATATTATTTTACAATATTACTCTTTTTGTTGTTTTTTGATCAAATAATTGCAGCCTTGGTAAAAAAACAAGTTTTTTTGTATTTTTTTTGTTTTTACTGAGCCCAAACTTTTTAACATTATATCTGTGTGTATTTTGGCTATTTTGCAGCATCTTTGAATGGTTCAGCTGAGTAGAATAATAATAATAATAATAATTTTATAGAATAATATAATTTTTTTGTGTTTCAAAAGAAATATTAATGCAATTAGTATTTATTAAAAAAAGTAAAACATTTATAAAAAAGATAAATTTAAAGGGTTAGTTCACCCAAAAATTAGGCTGTTTTACTCACCCCCCGAGGCATCCTAGGTGTGTATGACTTTCTTCTTTCAGACGAATCCAGTCGGAGTTATATAAAAAATTGTCCTGGCTATTCCAAGCTCTATCATTGCAGTCAGCGGATGTTGCATTGCTTCAGTCCAAAAGAAGTGAAATAAAAAGCACCCATCCATAAAAAAAAAGTGTCTCACACGGCTCCGGGGGGTGAACAAAGGCCTCCTGTAGTGAATCGATTAGATTTGTTAGAAAAATAACCATATTTAAAATGTAATAATCAATTTAATCTAGCTTGCGCTCACTGTTGTAAATGGAAGCAGTTCCGGGAGCATGACGTATGAGGTCAGCTTTGCGCATGCGCCGCTCAGAAGTGGCGCACGCGGAAGCGCAGCGGAGAGATCAAAACAAAACACAGGTCACTTATTAGAAGTACAAAACGAGGATTTGTAAAGAAGAATGTCGGAGGATTTCGATATAAGCCAAGAGGAGGCTGGTTTTCCTTTGCTAAAGTAAGGAAACTTTGCTTCTTTTGATCCTGTAAACAAATGTTGGTTTTCACGAGACTCACTGGTGCATGCGCAACGCTAAACTCATACGTCATGCTTCCGGAGCTGCTTCCGTGTTGGTGCAAGCGACTGGATTCGTCTGAAAGAAGAAAGTCCTATACACCTAGGATGCCTCGGGGGTGAGTAGAACAGCCTAATTTTCATTTTTATGTGAACTAACCCTTTAACATTTAATATAAAAATAGGAAACGGTGAATATAGTTTTTATTAGGGTTGCAAAAAGGTGGAAAATTTCCAGTAAATTTCGGAGATATTCCAGAAATTTTGGAAACTTTCCAGGATTTTTTGGAATATTCCAGGGATTTTTGGAAAGTTTCTGGAAATGTACCAGAAATTTTCCACCCCTTTGCAACCCTAGTTTTTATTATATTTAATTGTATTATTATTATTTTGGTGTTTCTTGTCTTCATTTTGAGAGAACAGTTAGTTGACAGCAAAGTGGTAGAGAGAGAGTAGGGGTGGGATCGGGAAAGTTCCACGAGCTGAGACTCAAACTTGGGACGCCCAATATTTTTATTATTTTATTTTTATTAAAAACCTGTTGAATAGCAAAACTGTTTTGGTACTTATATCAATTCCTTATCATGCTCCGCTCACACCCGCAGTCGGACATGCTGAGGTCCCTCACCAACACAAAGCCCACCGTCAACGAGCAGGATCTGGAGAAGCTGAAAAAGTTCACAGAGGACTTTGGACAGGAGGGCTGAACAGAGCCGGTCTCCCGAAACCAAAGCAAACAGATTGTGATTGTCACGTCTTCTCTCTTGCCCTTCACACGCCCCTCTCTTCCTTTCGTACCCATGCTCTTCCTCTGACCGACGAGCCCTTTCAACTCAGGCTAAAGGCTAGATGTCATTTGAAATGTGTATCTCTTCAAGCCCACCTCAGTTTTTCTTCACATGTTAATAGCTGCTCTGCCTACAAGGCTGCCATCAGTACCTTGTGACCATCATGCATCAATCCTTGAGTCTCAATCATAATTATCTGTGCTTTCTATGAATAACACAGTCAGCAGGAGCTACAACAGATGTGCTGTAAAACAATTAGCAATTATAATTTGTTCCTAAACTAATACTAATGTCAGTTTTGTTTACAGCCACATACATCTGAATGGACAATAGACGACACATGAAGACTTTCCAGCTCCGTTTTAAAATGCTTTTGTTGGCTGTGCTTTGTTTTGTAGGAGAAGAACCATTTAAATAGCTCTTGTCTGTTGTTGCAAAGACCTCTTTGGGTGCAGGTGTAGACTTCATTCACAAGGGTAGTGAGATCTGTCTTTCCGGAGCTGTGTTTTCCTTCTCGTTTGAGAAAGTCATGGTTTGAATCTGTGCATCGGGATTTGATACAACACTTAGAGATCCGCATTTAACAATTCAGGCACTCTTTACATATACTACATATGGTTTTATCTCCATGTACATCATTACTTTCAGTATATTACTGTAAAATGTGCTCTTCCTTCACCGAGATATGAGTTGCATTATATGTTGAGGGGCCAATGTTGGACGTTGGTTGTAAATTCACTTGCTGAGGCTCAACACACAACGTGCCTTCTCTGCATTTTCCTCCTGTCTGTCTCTCTCGATCTGCGTACACATAGATGCACAAATGATGCTTATTGATGGCTATATAACTGTTTTTATAGGCAGAAGGTTTGGGAATGATTGGATGATATTTGCACATTTCATTTAAAACTGTACAAACATATATATCAATCTGTATACAGCTCCTATGCACTTATAGGGTGTTTGGTTTGCCATTTAAAAACCTGTAAGACATTGTACTATTAGAATGTAGATGTGTTTGGTTTGTTTTAAGGATAAGTCTTGTTAAACAGACAGTCTAAAAGTGGTTGAGCTTGTTCATTTTAATATTCACATGTAAATAAAGGTTGAAATGAAACTAACTTGACTCATTTGTTACTTAAATGTGAATGTTTTCACACAAACTCCTAAAACGCTCATTCCCTGTCGCTCTGTCAGGTCTGTATTTTTTATTTATTTATATTTTTGATAGCGGGTTGACGGATATGCCATTGTGGGCGGTGTTTTTGGATAAAGGGCTTATGATTGAATCAAACTCGGTGGCGAAGATGGCAAAAAAAATACCATTACAACGCTCCTCAACATTACGAAAGCGACCGTTTTAACAGTTTTCCTGCTCTGGAAAGAATGTTGAACTTTGGAACTTGTAGTCCATGTTCTATAAAAGTCGCGTTATGATGCGGTAAGCGGAGGTTTAAAAAAACTACAACTCCCATAATTCCACCGCTCAAACGCAGCCAGCATCCCGTTCAAATTGCTTAGATTCTCTGTTTTGGTTCAAGTAGTGAACGGAAAGTGTTAGCTTCTGCAGTCTCACGGCTTGAATTTAGTATTTAATCTACTACACACATCACTAGATAATAACAGAGCGTAAACGGCTCGTCCGAAGGCCTGTTATCTTCTGTCCGCGAGACGGGGGAGTGTCTGGAATTGGACATTTAGCTTGTGAGCTAACGTTAGCAGCATCAGGTTAACTTGACCCATGTCCTCCGCGCTCTCACACTGGCTCTCCTTTAGCTCCTGGTGGCTGCTTCTGCCGTTCGTTATGCTCCTGGTAGTGGCTGCTTTCATCGTGGCCTTTGTGCTGCTGCTGTACATGATATCCCCGTTAATAAGCCCCAAACCGCTCAAACTGAACGGGGCCCATGTGGTGGTAAGTTCATGTAACTCTGTTATTTAAATCGGTTAGAAATAACTGCACACAGACCTCATAACATCAGAAGCAGCTAAGCTAACAAGAAACGAATGCTATAAGGTTGTTGTCAATAGGTCCTGTAGTAGTCCATCTATCGAAAAAGCCTAATAATTTAATTGCATTAACTGTCATTGTTGGTGCTTATTCATAAATTGATTAGTTATATGAATTGATAGTTGGCAAGCATAAACCTAATGATGCTGTGATCATCACTGATAATTATTCATTATGTAACTCATGCAGATGTGCATTTGACTTGATCAGTTGCTGAAACTGTTATCGCTTCAGATTGCAAATGCACATCAAATTAACTAATATTCATGTTAATAAAGGTCATATTTCACTGGAGGCCAAATAAGTGTAATTGTACTGGTTATGCAACCATCTGTTCCAGGGCAATGGACCTTTTCAAGCGGCAACTGCATGTTTGTGCATTTGCTAGGGTTCATAGTTTATCAAGAGCTCAGACTTATCTTGTTGAGCTAGAAATAGGCAATGTTTATCTGTGATGATTTCATGGGATATTTTGCAAAGCGTTGTTCATAAAATGCCTATTTTCATGTATTCATGCTTTATGCAGTTGATTGTATTCATAGAAACATCAGAATGAATTCACATAGAGCATTCATACATTTTCACAGGCAGCACACAGAATGAAAAGCCATGATTCTATTTGTTCCATTTGTTGTCGTCCATATATGCATGTTAATTTTTTTTTATTATTTATAAGTTTTAACCCTGTAAAACCTAATGTATTACCAGAAAATGTAACTTTTTATTGACACATAATTTTATTTTGATTTGACCTCTTTATTGAAACTCTAGACAAAAAAGGTGCTCATGTTGCAAAAAAAAAAAACCCCAAAAAACCTTTTATTCAAACTGAGCAAAAAACTGCAATTAGGTGCAGTTGCTGATATTTTTATGGCCAAAACGTTAAGATGAAATTACTGAAATTCTAATCAGTAAAGGTGGTGAAAAAACTATCAAATGGGCGAAAGAAGGCATGGAAGTACATTGTGTACAACAGGTAAGTATTGATCATGTTGATAATTTACAGGCCTTAGAGATTCAGTAGGCTTCATAGGGTTAAGTTTACTAACACTCTAACACTAATGAGAGTCAGTAGATATTAGCGGTGCAATGGTTCAACTTACTCACGGATCGGTTTGAATCATGGTTTTTAGGTACAGAAATTGAATAAAGTAATCTAATGTAAAATAACATTGCATATTTGACTGTATAAATTAAAGATGAATCCTTATTAAAGTTACAAAAGTTATGCAATCAAGAGCAGTGAGATATTTCCGTGTTGTTGCTGTTTGATTAACATTAAGAAAGTGCTGTCACTTTAAGAGAACGCACTGATACTGTATGTTCAGCCGACTATGTCTGCTAGGATACTCACCAAGACGGGCATTTTGACACGTCTTCTGGCTCTTTAATATTTAAACTGGCAAGGCTTAAATGAGTTTAGTTTAAACACAGATAGCAACGTGTGCTGTTCAGGTCTCATCTGTGTTATCAACACGTGATGACGGCATAAATGACAGTTATTCCAACATAAAGCACTCACATTGATCAAAGAGTGACTGGTTTGTCCACGTATTGTTTTTTTCTCTCTCTCGTCGCTCTTGTTGTAATGTATTAGGAAGCCAGAATTTGTATCCATCAACAGAAACATGCATTAGCCGAACTCTAACAAACCATATTACAGATGCATTGTCAGATTTAAGTTGAACCGCGGTCCTAGTGCATGCCGAACCGTGTGTGGAGAACGGTACGGTTTGATTTTTTACCGAGAACCGTTGCACCCCTACTGGATCTGTCACGCGCTCTATACACTAGCGTCAAAAGTTTGTGGTCAAGAATGCTCAACAAGGCTGCATTTATTTGAACAAAAATACAGTAAGAACAGTAATATTGTGAAATACTATTATACATGTATCGTTAAAGTTTTCTATTGTAATATATTTTCTAATGCAATCTATTCCTGCGATGCAAAGCTGAATTTTCAGCATCATTACTCCAGTCTTCAGGATCCTTCAGAAATCTTTCTAATATGAGGATTTGTTTTGACGAAAAGAAAGTTAAACGGACAGCGATTATCTTGATTTGGAACATTATACATGTCTTTGTCACTTTTGATCAGTATAATGCATCCTTGCTATTAATTTTCTTTTAGAAAAAAAAGTGCTGAGCCCAAACTTTTGATTGTTAGTAGACATCATAATTATCGCTGTCATTGGAAGTTATTAAATATTTGTGGGTGTACATATTTTACTACAGCACAAACTGGTTCAAGCCAAGAAAGAAGTGGAGAAATGTGCCATAAATGATAAGCAAGTATGTATTTCTTTGGTATGTTTATTTATCTTTAATTGTAAGTATGTATTTTTGGCTATATTTTTGGCTGTTGCACTCCAAATCAACTCAGAAATCTTAAATGGGCTTACCACATATGATTATTGTTATGATCACCTCTAGGTGGTGCTTTGCATTTCTGTTGATGTGTCGAAAGACTACAACCAGGTGGAGAGCGTCATAAAACAAGTATGTTTATTCCGTTTCATAAGAATGGTATGGTCAGCATTTATTCTGGTCATTGTTTTGAAACATTAACTGCTATTTATGTTTTCTTCGGATGGTTTGCGACGAGGCTGCTGACTGTTGTGTTGTGTGATTGCTACACAGGCTCAAGAGAAGCTGGGTCCTGTGGACATGCTGGTGAATTGTGCTGGGACGTCTATATCTGGGAAATTTGAGGAAGTGGAAGTCGACCGCTTTAAGGTAAGAGCAGCATATCATAGACACTCAGGTGGGCATTTTCAGATTATGCTAGTAAGAAACCACCTTGCAACACCCTCTGGCCCTCAAGAACCACTTTTAAAGAGCAGAGCACATATTTGAACATTTATTGTCATGCTGGTTTTAGTTGTAACTTAAAAAAATGTTTTTTTTTAATTAAAATATAGAAAGACAACATTATATAGATTAATTGAATGAAATTATATGCCAAAATAAAAAATTAGGCATTAACTCCGCATGTATTTTACTAACAGTGAAGTGTAACTAATGATCATTTGGTGGATAGTTTAAAAGTATTCATTATTCACCTGTATGTAGCATATTAATTTTAACACATTCATAACAGTCGCCTTAGGGTGCTATGTGTCCATGACATCTTTTATCTGAGAGAAAAAAATGCTGCTCGGGGAGACACTGAAAATAATGAATACATGTACAATGATGTAAACTAATAATTGTTTATGTTTGTTGGCAGTATTTAATTATTCATTGAATGATTATGAACTCAAATTAAGCATTACAAACCAAAATAGTATTTATTGTATTGTACCATAGACAAAACCACAAAGCTGGCATAGAGGTATGTATAATTACAAAATAAGTTTGTTATAGTTGTTATTTTTAAAGGGGTCATATGATGTTGCTAAAAATAACATTATTTTGTGTATTTGGTTTAATGAAATGTGTTTATGCGGTTTAAGGTTAAAAAAACACTATTTTCCACATACTGTACATTATTGTTTCTTCTCTATGCCCCGCCTTTCTGAAACGTGTCGATTTTTACAAAGCTCATCCGTCTGAAGAAGCGATGTGTGCTGTGATTGGCCAACTATCCAGTGCGTTGTGATTGGCCGAATACCTCAAGCGTGTGACGGAAATGTTACGTCCCTTACCATACTGTGATGCCTGTGGCAACCACATGTGACGACCCCGGGCTGGACTCTGCTTCGTCCACGGTGAAAGCCGATCCGGCGATCGACAGTGTGAAGTTTAATAAGTATTTTCTCAGCGACCAGCACGGATCAGCTCTAGGCATGACGAAGCAGATATCGTCCTCTTTTGGAAGACCAAACAAAGTAGTTTCGCTTTCACAACGAAACACACAGTGCCTTCACGACATGGCGGCAGCGGCAGCAACAATACTACAGCGAGAATAAAAGTTACGCCTTCTTTCTTTGCGTGAACATTTGGGCGGCGTTATGCAAATCTTCCCACATAGTGATGTAGACATGTGGGGGCGTGTTAGAACGAGCCGGTTTAGGGGGGCGTGGCTGACTCTTAACTTTTATAAAGAGTATCTCTTTGGATTTGAGACTTTAGTCTTTGCAACTTTACAGATCTTCTTTATGCACCAA